TTAGGCTAGTTTAGTTAAAGGTTAAATTATATCAATTAAGGGCGCCTAAAAATGTAAATCCGGCCCTGGGTATACCCAAGAACTCTGTACACTGTACAGTGTTCTTGGGTATATCTATAGAAAAATAGGCCAATTTCATAATTGCATCACAAACCATGTCAAAAAATTATATCAAAATCCAAATATAAGTGATATACCTACCTAAGTTATACATTGCTGTTTCATTTGTAAACAATACAATTTAATAACCCTAATTAAAAAATTATATAACATTTAATTGAGCTCATGAGGTCGTACAAATTTAATAGTCACTTTAGTTTAAATAAAACGTAAATAATACCCTGCATTCTTAACATTCTGTATTTTTTTTCGTTTCGACAAAAACCAGAGATCTTAACGGTCACTTTTACATTTTCACCGGTTTCATTTTTCAAAAGTCTTTTAAACCACTTGAATGGTTCTGGCGTCGGATTTTTGTCTGCACCGACCTATTGTGCTCGAGTTCCCAGAAATTTGACTCACGATGATTGAAAAATTCTAACAAGTGCCCCAAAAGAATAACACAATAACTACCTACCTACCTGAGCAATGTAAAAATGATTTTTATAGTTCCTCTGAATAAAACCATAATAGGTATTATACCTTATACGAGGTGTGTTCAGAAAATAACGGGAATTGTTAAATTTCGCGGGTTCGGAGGGTCCGGTTGTCATAAAATTTTCTTTATTATGTTAGTATACATGCCCCCGAAGTATGATAAAAACTTTAGCTGTTTTCATTGTTTACTTTTTCTGTGGCAGCCGCTAAGGTTAGACGTGTTTTATGAGCTCGGCGATTTTCGTTCGTTAAAAGAAATGGATCAAAGAATTTGGTATCCAATTTTGCTTAAAAAATTAAATAAGTTCTGTGCAATGTTAACAAAGGCCTATAGTGAGTCTGCTATAAGTAAAACGAGAGTTTACAAGTGGTATAAGAGTTTCCAAGATGGCCGTGAAGACGTTGAAGATGATGAACGCCCAAGCACATTAACAACCGATAAAAACATGGAAAAAGTGGAAGAAATGGTTATAAACCATCAGAGAAGTCGCTGATGATGTTGGTATATCGATTGGCTCATCCCATGAAATTTTTTCGAATGTTTTGGGTATGAAACGCGAGGCAGCAAAATTTGTTCCAAAATTGTTAAATTTTGAACAGAATTTTTGGCCCAAAACAATACTGTAATGATGCCCCAGCCTCCATATTCGCCAGACATGCCTCTGTCTGACTTTTTCCTATTCCCAAAAATAAAGAGAACCTTAAAGGGCCGTCGTTTTGCAAGCATAGCTGACATTAAAAGCGCATCGCTGAAAGAACTAAAGGCTATCCCAAAGATCGAGTTTTAGAAGTGTTTCGAGTATTAGAAAAAGAGCTGGCACATGTGCATAAAATCCAATGGGGACTATTTTGAAGGCGACAACATTAATGTAGACGAATAAATAAATATTTGTTTCAAAAAACGAAAATTCCCGATATTTTCTGAACACACCTCGTATATGATATTATAATAAATCGCTTGAAATGCGATAGTTCTGGATTTAAAACGTTTCTGTTTTTTAATTACAAATAACTTTTTGTGATAAGAGTCATCAAAAGCAACAAGCACTTAAAAAAACTATAATTTACCGATTACCTACCTACTTTTGTTACTCTAGATAAAAATTAAAACATGTTTTTATTGTTTATAATACTTAAGTATTATAAAAAAGAATTCTATCATAGACGTCAATAAAAGCAATAAAGTTTATTGAATAAACTAATCACCGTGCCCTATAATGCAAGGCATTCTCCGCAAATGTTTATCTACTACATTGGCAAGCGGTGACTTTATGGCGTTTTAGTCATGGGCTGAAGTTATCAATAGTGGTTTCTGGGCATTTTAGTCACGGGCTGAAGTTTTCTTTATTATAAATTGCGAAAAAGTGAGGTTTATTTCGTCAAAGGTCAAATATTTATGAATTAAATTTTGCTTTAAATTCTCAGGCTATAGCCTGCATTATCACTCGTATAATACTATTATCTACTCCCACATTGACAAGCAGTGACTTTATGGCGTTTTAGTCATGGGCTGAAGTTATCAATAGTGGTGTTTATTTCGTCAAACGTTATATATTTAACAATTAAAATTGGCTTTAAATTCTTCTCTAGACACTCGTTTCTATGAAAACACTCGCTCGCAAACTTCGCTCGTGCCTAAAAAACTATAGATATGCATAACTAAAATCGCGTTTATAAAACTTGATACATTATAATGTGATAATTATCATGTATCATGAGTATATGTATTTTATATGTTTAAAGAATATCAGTAGTTATTTTATAGCCTATAAATTATAGGTATAAATTTGTCCGTACTTTATAACTTCTAATGTTTAATAAAAACAATAGTATATCTACTATTGTTTTTATTAAACATTAGCAGTTAAAGTACGGACAAATTTATATCTATAATTTATAGGCTATAAAATACCTACTGATATTCTTTAAACATATAAAACTTTTTATTATAAGTAAAGATATTTAATTAAATGTGTGTGATACGGCTCTGCAAGACCCACAATTTTTTACTGTTATAAGCGGCAATAAACTTAGGAATTCATCTTAAATTCCTCAAAACGCATGTTGCAGGTAACTCACCTTTATTAAATTGTATAAATAATATTTCTATTAATTGTATTATGTGTAAAAAGAGAAAACAATTTACACGATTTGCCTTTCAAACTCTAATTAACTTTATTTTATTTACTTTTAATTAGAAAACAAAAAAATGTTTTCAATTAACCCACTTTTGATTTACAATAATTAAATGCACTGCGCGGTACAAAAGTTTCGCGTCTTTATAGACATTTTATTTTGTTTATTACTTTAAAACTATGTTGGCTAGATTTGTCAAATTAGGGATGGTTGTTAAAATTGTTAAGTAGCTTAATGTATCAATTTCAAGGTTATCGGTGGCATTGTTTTTGTGTTAGACGAGTTTTTTATCAATAACTCACAATAACTTATTAAAAAAGATTTTAAATTTGTTGTACAGTTTGGAATTTGTAGGTATTTACAAATTTCATATTTCTAACCCCAGTTCTCACCGCTGTAACTGCTTGTGTTTGATATAAGAAGCGGCGAAGTAGAATTTAGAGAGTGCTCCATACCAAACGGTCTTAGACCTAGGTAAACGGCTACCCGATACTGACGAGCTCCAAAAGAGCGAAACATGCCGTCTATCGGTGCCGGTGAAGAGCACGCTTGAATTTAAACAAAAGTGAGACGAAGTAATCGCAATTCCAAAAATAAGCGAATACGATCAAATTATTAAAATGATTTTAATAAAATCAATTTAACAAATTCGTTTGTTCTATGGTAATTAAACTTGACATGTCAAAATAAGCAACAATCCAGTATATAATTTTTTCATCAGTACCCTAGTAGTACTTCTATATCCAAAACGAGAAATTCTAAAGAAGTCTTTCTATAAGTTTATACACTGTTTAAAATATCTGTGGTGTAAAAAGTAATCTTAAAATGGTGTCAAAATCCAACACCAAGTGGTGTTAATATAACACCATCAATTATGGTTGAAAATGTGTACCGATCACGGCAAAGGCGGTGTGGATCACGTGATGTTCTTAAATCTCGCCTCTGTTGACTTACATGAAGAATATATAAACTCAGGTGGTCCTTTGCTTTGGTGTGACACTACAAGTTGTTCGATACTAAAGAGACCTTAAATAGGTGGAAACAGCTGTCAATACTTGAAGTATTTTAAGTTAGTGGAACGCACTAAAAACATTATCTCTAGCGAGTTGAAGGTTCCATTTTCTGAAATAATACCACTGGTAATATACTAGATAGTAATGCGTCAAGGAACTTCCTGTTTCCTTTTTTTTCCTTTTTTCTGTGTAGTATGATTTAATTTGACCACAAACACATAATATTTAACACTGAAAAGGAGTTCAATTTACACCAGGTAAAATTTATTTTAATACTGTGTGAAAGTTAAATTAACACCATTTTAGTATTTGAATTTACACCGGCCAACGAACCATATTTAACACCATTTTGGTTTGTATCGATATAGACCATGTATGGTGTTAATTTGGTGTTAAAATGGTCATGAAATTTTGAATAGTGTAGGACTCTTTAAAATGCTTAATTGCGAAGTCAAAGAAAAGGGTAGGTATAACAATGAAATTTAATGTCATCAGGTATGAATGGAATGATTAATATAATTATCTTGATATGGGTTCAGTCTCCTTCCATAGCCACTGTTTTGCTTCCATCAAGCCTGGTTTCTCCAAAAGGGGTCCAATCTTTTGCCTGCATTCCACGTGATAGTCGTTGAGCTGTTTGATCTCTCTGTCCGTAAGCATGGCAACATCTATCATTTTGGTTTGTTTTGGCACCAAGGTGATGGTGTGGAAGGTAAGGAATCCGCGCTGATTGAAGTTGTTCCTCAAGAGTTCTTTTTTGAGAAGTCTTGATTAGTTTAATAGGTGGCGCATTCGAATTCTAAAGAACTTCTTAAAAATTTCTTTCTGATGTTGTATTCGACGTCCAAATCATAAAATGGAGCTTATGCAGACTTAATTAAGACGTCATATTGCTGGCTGGCAAGCCAATGGACCTTCTGCAGGCCCAAAAGCTAACAGTGGCCCTCTTTATGACCCTGTTGACGTGATCCTTTCAGATCAATGATGACTCCTAGATATTTGACCGATTTGGATAGGATCAGCCTTGATACAGAGAGCGTAAGCCCATCTACGTTCCCGTTTCTTCGTTTGGTTAATGATACCACTTTGGTCTTGTCCAGATAAGCGAAAATAACATGATTGTTTCACCATGGTGAGAGGTGCACCTCTCGACTTTATTAAGAGCTCTATGCATGATCTCTTTAATTTACAAACAGTTTTTTGTTAACAACTCACAAACTAAAAACGCTAAACAAATTACATTTTCTTTTCTAGGCCTCGCCGCAGGTCCGGCAGCAGTATAGTTGTCCTTGACGGCGACATAGAGCCTGTGAAAAAATCCTTGGAGGACATTGATGACGTGGTGGACTACAGCATGGTAATGATGCTTTCCGGTGGAGATAACGGTCCGCACCGGGAGATGGCGGTAGACGTACCGGACACATTTATCGCGCGTAACAAAACCCCGCCACGATACCCGCCTCCAAAGCCTATATTAACGGTAAGACACAAAATAATACACAGGGTACTTCATTCGGGTTTTTCATTCGGGATTTTTTTTGCCTTATTTTAGTTTTTTTTTGCTTTTTTTGATAATAGGTAGGTTATGATCGACTGCTAGGAGTTACTTTTGGCGATGAAAACGAAGAACGTGCAATTGACGTCCCGGATAATTTCGTTGAGAGGAAAAAAACCTCCCCTAAATATCCAAGCCCTAAATTAATAAAGGTAAAATTTATAAAAATGGGAATAATGGAAAATGCACGTTTTTTTATATAATGTTTATTTCTGAAAATAAGTCCTATTAACAAAGGTTTAGTTTAAGCATGTAATAACCTCACATATCATCCAAAACACAATAAAATCGAACAACGTAACCTAATTCTTCTAATTTAATTTCAGAGTGGTGTAAATGGAACTTCCCAAGCCTCCACGACGGTTCCAACATTGCCAAACAGCACGAAACCGGTACCCCCACCACGCGATCACCTAGTTAACAGGGCGCCTCCACCACAACTACCGGCGCGCATCACCAATAATAACACTATCGCGCCTGCCACGCCGACCCCGACGGTCACCGAGCCAACCAGAGAGCAGCTGGACAGCATAAAAAAATATACGGTTAGTGGGCTTTATATTTTTCCTGGTACGGTCCTGTCCATTGATATCTCGCGTTGGGAAGTTTGAAAGTTGGGTATGTTGTTAAGGTATTCCCTGATTAAACATTTTTATGGTGTAGGGAAAAGTGGCGTGAATTTGGCATGTTTTTAGATTTTTTGTTTGTAGGGCAAATTAGCAGGGGCGGATTGGGAAAGTCAAAACGGTCTGGGAATATAGGTCAAGCAGGTCACAATAATATTTCTTATGAAATACCTATACTCTGTTACAGAGTCTCTGTACCTATAGACTGTATAAAATACAGTAGGTATGTCCACGAATGGGCTACAAAGAGGGATTAAAATATTATACGTTTATTAGAAAAATTTTGATCTTGATAAAAGTTTTTGCTTGTTTTTAAACAACCTTCTGAATATGCGACACATCATTTTAATACTATGCTTTTTATTCTCTCTTTCGAGAGAATTGGACTTGAGCCAATTAGGCTCTTACTGCCCAGTTACAAGTTTTTACGTCCTTGAGCTTTTCGGACATGTGGAATTTAAAATCTTGAAACATCCACTAAATCGATTGCACAAATCACAAAATACCTCGCTGAAAGGTCAAAGCTTGCGATATTGTCGAGAAATAACAGTATATTTCTATACCGGGAACCCCATTTTATCCTTCCTGGGTCAAAGTCAACTATTTTCAGACTTTTTCATGGAGCGATGTACAGCCGTTGAAGGATAAAATCGAACTCCCATTTTAATTTTAATTTGATTTTTATAAAAGTTTTTGAATGAAAATTTTTCGATAAAAATAATTTTTGGTCAGGTTTTAATCGTTTGTAATTTTCTTTTATTTTTAACAAATGAATGTTATTATTACGGTAGGCAAAAACCTCTTGATAATTCTCCACGTCTTTAATTTTTACTTATGAAAAAGTATAAAAAATGCATTGAAATTAGTTTTTTTGATGCTATATTGCAAAATTCCAACTTTCAGCACTAGTTAGGTAAATAACTATTTTTTATAAGCGTGAGGAAAGTAGCAACTTTTCGCACAGATAACCGTGCGGAAAGTTTCACTTTTCTGTGCGTTTACTTTACGCAAGAAAATGCGTTCGGAAGTAGCAGATTTCCGCACGCTTGCAGAACAAATATTTTTTATAGAAATGAAAAATTGCAAGATTCCCTTGTTTATAGAAAAAATATTGTACCTATAGGTGTTATAACACGCGCGGTAGTCGCGTGCGGAAATGTATCACTTTCCGCACTAGTTAGTTAAATAACTATTGCGTACATGGCAACAAATGTAAAATACTTTTTTCTACAACCGAGCGAAAAGTACAAATTTGCGCTTCTAAAAGAAAGCGCAAAGTTGCACTTTTCCGAAGAGCGTAAACAAAACGCTCCATTAGTTACCATGGAAATCGTAATAAATATACGTCTAGTGTATTTGCGACTTTTGAGACAAAAGTCAAATTTGAGGTTATCAATAATTATTAAGTTTTACCAAACATTTTTATAAAAACACCGATTGTAAAAAAATCCTGTGTGTAATTCGAGCGCAAAGTGACATGCCACTCTCGCGAGATACACAAATAGCTATTACGCTCTGTATACGAAAAACTGTTGTTTTGACACTTAATAAACATAATGTAAAAGTCAACTTTTAATAACAGTTTTCGAAAAGATTTTTAAAAACTGCGAAATTCTTTTGCAGTCTCGAATACAACAAATTGAAACAGCTCCACTCAAGCACTAATCTTGCTTTAGATTAAATCTAAATTTTACCATTAAAAACAATAATATAAACTAACTTACCTGTATATGCGTTGAGTTTCTTTATCAATAATATAAGGAATAATAAATCGAAATCGAGTACTAAACCAACTTTTAGAGTTTTTACTTTCGCCGCAAAACACAAATAAAGTGCGCGATTTAGCTGTGCAATTGAAACTTTGCGAACAAAATTTGTCGATAAGTTAAAAAGTAAAAGCTTTGAATGATTACTTTTGAGAAATGACAAAAACTGATCAAAAATGAATTTTATCAATAAATTTGCAGTCCAAAATTTTCAGAAAAATCAAAATTGCAAATTAACCATAGTCAATAAAAATGTCGTGTCTCATATTCTGGACGTTTAAAATTAAGTAAAAACGTTTTTATCAAGAATGAATACAGGTTTTTGAGAGAGATGTAAAAAACAGTCTTTTTTGTTTTTTCGTTTTTTTTAACCGTAGGTATAATAAAACATAATAATTCACAATAAACTATATTTTGTCAATAATTGACATTAATAACTCCAATCCTGTTCTACACGTACCTATGTAAATTTTCATTTATTATAATGTAGGTACCTACATTATAATAAATGAAAATTTACATAAATTTACGTAAATCTTGCTTTCTTGTCAATTCGGCCAATTAAAAAGCAATAAAGTGCAATATTAAAATTAACGCGCTATAGCGCTTATAAACTAGCCGAAAATAAATGGGTGCCGATTCTACCACACTTTCCTGTAATAAAAACCATGCTAATTAGACTATTGAAATTTTAATACATTTTCTACTAAATATGCCTAATAATTGTACCAAATTTCATATTATTATCGAAATTATTTTTCTATAGCAAAAAATAAAAAGTTACCATACTTTTGACACATTCTATACATTTAAATGGTTTAATGCATAATAATAATGACATAAAAATGCACTTCCTGTATATGATAAAAAACAGCGGGCAATTTTGTATGAGTGAATATTTAATTTGTGTTTGTTTACTTTTAATGTTTTTGTTTAAATAATAATAATAAATCAAAATAAATAATTTACAAGGTTTAACTGTTTTGTCTGGGACTGTTTAAGGTCAAATTAAAGTAGGAATGTTTCTTGAGATACAAAATTTAATTAAAAAATATTAAGTAGGTATAGATTTTTAATAAACTTCTTTTGAAATATTTAAAGTTTAAGTTTTTTTAGTGATTTATTTTTTTTAATAAAATAAACATATTCTAAAATTAAAAAATAATTTTTTTCACATTCTTGAAATTAAAAATTAAATTAAATATAGCACCTAAACTTTGTCTTAACCATATAAATATCACTGATGCATCAGGATCCATGGATATATGCATATAACATAAAACATATATATGCATATAACATAAAACCATAACATAAAACCATATAAAAAATAATACTTTGAGTCACCCCTCGTATAAATTCATCATATTAAATACTTACGGGCAATTTAAATAGTTATTAGTCGTCGAAACAGGTGGGAGTACCTATTAGCTCCTTACCTGTACGAAACCAAACAAAATATTGCGCACTCTCTCTCAACTATACGTCCATCTTTATTTTTTCAATATGTAGATAGCACTATCTAGCAACACTAGGAATTGGTAGCGCACACTTGATTTTTGTGTTTAACGTGCGAAACGCGATGGTTTTTTGGTTAAAATTTGTGTGGTTAATTTTTTGATAATAAGATGGTGTCCAATGGTATAATGGTTAATAATGAATGCTATAATTTCAACAACAATTATTTAAATAAGGTATAAGTTTATAGAACATTTATTTGTTTATTATTAATAACTATGACATAGTTTTTCTATGAAACAATTCAATGGATTATTTTGAAAGCTAAATTGTTAAAATTTTCGATTTTTTAACAATACCAGCATATTTTTTACATGAATTACCCATTAGTGATAACATTGTATTTTCTAATTTATTTTTATTGTTTTTCAACAATACACATACTTTCTTGTTTAAACAGTATAATTGCTTAAGTCATCATTTTTGTGTCCCTACTGTATTGAAAATACTTTTTAATATTCCCATTTTAGGCCTATTTGCAAGCCTTAAACAATTTAATTTTAACATTTAATCAACTTTAATAATATTATATGATCCTATTATTTAATAATCCCTATATTGCATTTCTCAAAAAATATTAAGACCATTTTAAATACATATGTACATATGTTGTTTGTGTACATTAGACAAGGTTTTTAATTAACATATGACTCATTGTTATGTTTGTATTGATACCTATTTAAAAAAAGGGGATTTTTTATAATCAATCATGGAAAAAGTTTAAATAATTAAAAAGTATTTTTTATTTTAAGATTTAAATTAATTAATAATAATTACAACAATTTCAACAATAAAATAAATTAAAAAACATTTTAAATTAAATGTCATAATTTCATATTTATATTATGGAATTAGGTACCTACTAACTCCGAATTAGTAGTAGGTATTTGTTATAATAATAATTTATTTTACAAATCCCATACATATGATGTTATTTGTAGATTTAATCCAAACAAATAATTAAAAGACTAATAAAAAAACCCGCAATAAATTTATTTTAATATTTTTTCATTGTAATGCCTGGCATTCACAAATTATTGCACCCTCAACACCCGGCATTTAAACATTTCGCTTCTCTTTCTTACAGGAGCAGATCAGAAAACGTAAGGAAGAAGAAGAGCGAATAGCTGCTCAAACAGACTTCCTCAATAGATCGTTGAGGGGTTCCCGGAAACTCCAGGCGCTCGAAAGTAGACCTCAAGGCAGCGTAAACGACGCGTTCGCCGAGGATGAAGACCACGACTCCTCCAGATCCATTACGCCTGTGTCGCCCATCGAAAAAGAGGCTGTACACATACCCTATGGTGAGTAAGATTTTTAATTACTTATTTCAAGGCTAAATACACAAAAGTATAACAAACAATAGTGAGATGGAACAAGGGATTCTAAGGGTAGTTCTAATTCATGCTCTTTTTAACAATTGATGAGTTTTTTCGATGATAAAGGGTCATATTTTATAGACAATGCCCGATTTGTTTTACATTGCTACGCGTAACAGGAACCGGTAACCGGAAACGTGTAAAAACAATCGGTATTTTGCTTGAATATACAGGGGACCGTCAAAATAAAAAAAATCGTGAATATAAATGATAATGGTTTCTTTAAAGCTTTGTAACTTTTACAACAATTGTTACATTTTTATGAAATTTTCATTAACCACTAAGTCGGTAGATATTAAAAATGTCGTAAGGTTTCCTGAAGTAGAAAAAGAGAAGATAACTTGACGTCAATTTTATATAAAAATATTCACTTAACAATTGTTTATTTAAAAAAAAATCAAATTTTTTAGCAGTTTAAAAAAGTTACTCTGCGTTGTTCAAAGTCAATGATTTTTTTTGTGAATCATAATGATTAATTAATACACTTTCGATTAAAAAATATTACATTAAAAGAAAAATATATATATTTTTTAAATTAAACAACTTCTAGGCCTCGAAAATTATTTTTAAAAGTAAAAAGTAGTGTAGGATTTATATCGAGGGGTAAACCACGGATTTTTTTTACGAATTAACGGCCAAGGAAAACAATTCAAGAGAAATTTCTTATTGATAAGGATTTATATGATATTTTTTCTACTCCCACCTTTAAAACGCCCTTTATCGTACATGTTTCCATGACACTAAATGACCTTTTAAATACCCATTGACAAGTTGTGACTTTATGGCGATTTAGTCACGGGCTGAAGTTAGCAACAGGTTTTTAGTCACGGGCTGAAGTTAGTTTTAAGTTGGTTGACAGTTGTCAAATGTCATAAAATCGTTAAAATAAAGTGCCTTTCTTGAAAAATAATACTAAATGTGAAAATTATTTTCAATACAAAAATACGAAAGTATTAAATAATTTCTCAACGCCAATATTTGAAAATTTTATATGAACATTGTATACTGACCTTTTAATTTCACCGGCAGTAAACTATAACTTAAATTCGGGCACGGACTCCACTGTAAAGTGCTCATAAAACATTTTCTTTACTTTCACTGTGAAAAACTGTCAATTTTCAAGAAATACATTTCGATTTATAATCTGTGTTTATAAAATATAAAAATGTGACATTTGACGGTTCCCCTATTGTTTCATATATGGCGCTCTATGCAAATTTTTGATTTAAATCATTTTAAGTTAATAAGTATTTGTCGTAGAAAAAGTATAGTATGCACCTCGTTTATAAACTTTTCTATACACTCATTAATTTAAGCACTCGCTCGCAAGCTCGCTCGTGCCTAAATTAAATTCTTGTATAAAATGGCGTTTATCAAACTTGATACATAATATAGGTACTATAAATTATAAAATAAAAAATTGGTGCTTTCGTGGATTTTATAAAATCCACGTATACGTTTCAAATTATTCAGTGCAAAAAATGACACAAAAATAGGATTTTTACTTTAAATTACTGCATTTTATTTATTTAAGGATTTTTTTTTACTAATATCTATAATAACGGTAAAAAAAATTGTTAATAATAGCGGTTATGTGTATTATGAAAAGTTAATATAGTTATAATTATAATGATTTAAAGTTCGAAACTCGAGTTATCTAGCGGCTAGATGCCTTGTTTAATTGGTTTCCATTCCATCCTTAGATTTACAACACGATAGTGTTGCAGTAAATTTGTTTTAATTTTAAATTAATAGGGTTTATTATATAAAATTTTTACATCATAAACAAGATTTTAAAGTGGAATAGGTTGAGTTATATCGTATCGGTCAAGTTTACAAAACGAAGAAAAACTTACAGAACCAAAATCTCTTTATGTTTAAAAAAAATTAACAAGCAAATATGTTTTTATAAAAATTATTTTCTTTTTCGGAATTTCATATTTCCTCTTTAGTAACAATTGTTACTAAAGAGGAATTATTATGAAATCCCGACCCTTGGTAAATTCAGGGTCCACTTCAGGAATATATATTTCATAAATATCAACCAAAAAGTCGTATGTTTGTCGGTATACCCTTGCCAATTAAAAACCTGCCAAAATGTAAATCTTTGCAACTTTAATTTCAATGAAATTAAAAAGACGTGCTCTTTTCGTTGCTGCCAAATAATGAATTAATCATAGAAGACAGACGTTGTTTCTTTGTGCAAATAATTCGGTGTGTTTGCATCATTTAGGGTCATTTTATTTTTGCAAATAAAACTACCCGGGCCCGTCTTGAATAATAAAAATGTTTTAGTATAAAAGTTCTTGAGAAACTTTACAATGCAATTCCATAATAAGTGGGATGGGGATAATTTAAAAGTTGAAAACTACTATTTGTTATGGAAATCTCTTTTTATGCGCGAGGATTTTTTTCAGTGCTATTTCGTATGAAAAGACGCACCTTCATTTGTCGACATGTTTTATTGAAGTGTAATTATTATTTTTAAAACAATGAAGCTAAATTAATTTCTTTATTTAAATTAGTGCATACAAAAATAAATCCCTAAACTTATATATATATTAATAAAAATCAGCAAAAAAATATAAGGTGTCGAATGTCTTAAAAATGCACAATACTTAAATTTTTGTGGTAATACTAAACAGTTAATTTTTACACAATATTTAATTAAATAATAGTAAATAAATTGCTGGGTGATTGTTAGAAAACATCTTAAAGATTTAAATGTTAATTTTTTAAAGGCCTTGAATAAAAATACTTATTGTAATAAGACTTTTGCAATATTTATTGATGTCACATACAAGTCGTCGAAATAACTCGTCAGAACAATACAGGTATTTTTATTTTTTTAAACCTCTGTCCAAATTTATTTATATTTCGGGATATATTAACAAAAATACAAGCGTTTATAAACGCTATAGCCATTAACATTTTCTTATTTCTATTAATATACCCAAAAAACTTAATTTTTTTATTATAATATTTTTAATTAACGCATAATTTAATAAAATCCTCAGGGTATATTTACAAAAACACAACCAGCTTAAACATGGTACCATTAAGTAAAGAACTCAATGATAGTACACTGTTTAAAATATCTGTGGTTTAAAGAGTAATCCTAAAATGGTGTCAAAATCCAACACCAAGTGGTGTTAATATAACACCATGAATTATGGTTGAAAATGAACACCAAAACGGTGATTATCTAAAAATATTTGAGAAGTGCACCTACACAGAAAAAAAGTAATAGTTCATTTAACTATATTAATTTAGTTAACCCATAAGTATTTTTTGTGGTACACGTGATGTTCTTAAATCTCGCCTCTGTTGACTTACATAAAGAATATATAAGCTCAGGTAGTCCTTTGCTTTGGTGTGACACTACAAGTTGTTCGATACTAGACCTGAAATAGGTGGAAACAGCTGTCAATACTTGAAGTATTTTAAGTTAGTGCAACGCACTAAAAACATTATCTCTAGCGAGTTGAAGGTTCCATTTTCTGGAATAATACCACTGGTAATATACTAGTAATGCGTCAAGGAACTTCCTGTTTCCTTTTTTTCCTTTTTTCTGTGTATGATTTAATTTGACCACAAACACATAATATTTAACACTGAAAAGGAGTTCAATTTACACCAGGTAAAATTTATTTTATTACTGTGTGAAAGTTAAATTAACACTATTTTAGTATTTGAATTTACACCGGACCAACGAACCCTATTTAACACCATTTTGGTTTGTATCGATATAGACCATGTATGGTGTTAATTTGGTGTTAAAATGATCATGAAATTTTGAACAGTGTATTTACATCAGTGCACCCTGGAAATGACGTTAAAAAAATACCCGAAAACTTTTTGTTTCAGCTTATGGCGATCTGGTGGCATCGGTTCAACGCTTGCAGCTGCAGCTGAAAAAATCTGCTGGCGGTGGGGGCGGCGTGAGCGGTTTGGAAGGCCGTGTTGCCGCCGTTCAGTCGCTTCTTCTGTCGCCGCAATTTGGGCGCGCGCTCGCGGTGCACAATTGCGTGCAAGCGGTCAGGGCGCGCACGGCGCCCAGGGCGCAGCCCGTCGCCCAAGCCGCCCTCAGAGACTGCCTCGATGCCTTAGCCAACACTAGCGGCGTTTATGCCGTCGAGTTGGCCTCGCTGCTCACAGGTCAGTAATTGTATCTTGATTATCTTCGTAAATATAAGTGCTACGTCGAACATTGCCATTTGTGGAGTGATTTTTCAAAAGGTCGTATTTCCATTTGCAACAATTACTATAACCTGTATAGGTTAGGGCAATATAGATTATTAAAAAAAAATCTGATGAATATTTAATAATATTTCAGTCAAGCCACGTCAAGTGGGACCAGAAATTTTCACGAAATCACCGATTTTGAAAATAATCACATAATTGTGTAGTAGGCATGACCCATATGTCACAGTAAAAAAATTGTTTTGAAATTCAGTTTTTTGTTAATGATATTTAAGTTCATAATTTTGTCAAACTTAAGAGCACGGTAAAATTAAAAAAATAGAATCTCTTGGACCAGTCTGTATAATTGAATTAAATTTTACACACTAGGTATTCTAGCAATGTTTAGACTAAAGAATTGTCATTTAATTAAGGTAAATTTGTTTAAATACAAGAATGTTGCATACATTTATTATAAACAATTGAAATTTTGTTTGTGTTCTTCACACTGAAAAAAAATTAATCTTGTCTCATAATATGCTGCAAACATTCCCGTTTAATAAAATGTACTCAAAAATTTGTCCTTTATATCTCATTCCGGAAATATTAAATTTTTTGTCCCGCTGTGCGTTCGATCAGTACGCGGCGCGCTTCGCTGCTAGCTCGTCGGTTCTAACGTTCTAACGGAAAGCTGTGCTAACGAGCTATAGCTATAGCAGCGAAGCGCGCTGCGTACTGCTCAAGCGCACAGCCAGAGAAAAAAATTAATATCTCCGGAATGACCTATGAAGGACACATTTTTGAGTACATTTTATTAAACGGGAACTTTTTCCGCATATTATGACACAAGATTAATTTTTTTTCAGCGTGAAGAACACATACAAAATGTCAATTGTTTATAATAAATGTATGCAAAATTCTTTTATTTAAACAAATTTTCCTTAATTAAATGATCATTTAATAGTCTAAACATTGCTACAATAGTGTGTAAAATTTAATTCAATTATACAGAGTGGTCCCAGAGATTCTATTTTTTAAATTTTACCATGCTCTAAAGTTTGACAAAATTATTAACTTTAATAACATTACTAAAAAAGCGAATTTCAAAACAATTTTTTTCCTGTGACATATGCGTCATGCCTGCTACACAAGAATGTGATTATTTTTAAAATCGGTGATTTCGTGAAATTTTTTGGTCCCACTTGACGTGGCTTGACTCACTTCAGACCTGCTGTCATATTTCGCCGTTAATATATGCCTTTTAACCATACCTTTGGGATTTTGTCAAAAAATTACATTCAAGTAAAAATGGAAATAAGGCCTTTTGAAAAATCACTCCTCATTTGCAATATTATTGGGGAACGCATTTTTTCCATATAATTAATATTTAAAACACCAACAAATGTCAGGGTGAAAACTTTTTTTTAGATTTTGCAGCCAATTAAACTATTTATCGTGGATCAAAAATAAGTCATAACTTATGACGAAAATTGTATCTCTCATAATTTTCTACAATTTTCATATATCCTTTTATTTCTTTGACATTTTAGAAACCATTACAACTCACTAAGTATATGTAGAATAAGTTTAAGTACATAATATATTATATGGCGTTGTATTACGGTAGATACATATATCTACTATACTTTCACACATATTCTGCTTATTCGCTATATTTTGTATGGATGACCTTGATTCCTTTTTTGAGGGGAAATTTGTCGATGTTGTATGATCTACCTAAGGGTATTTCCGCGAAACCTTACCCCTTGACAAAAAATCAGATGTGTTATTTAACAAAACAAAAACTATATCTGAAGTCAAATAGTTTAATTGCGACGTAATTTATAATCTTAATCTATTCGTACATTGTAATGCTAAGAAACTAACTTTAGGAATAAACACGGAAGAGTTTCAATACTAGATAAAAAGTTCAAATGTCGCACCCGTTACATTTTGAGAAAGTTTTAGAAAATAAAGTATACAATATTTGTGCATTTAAAATACGCGCTTGTTTAAGGTTACTAGGTATTTAAGTTTTACACAAAAAATTATTATATGCTTTCATCCAAAATTTTACAGGAGAGCCATTCCACGCGTAACGGATAGGATAGTTGCCGTGTTTTTATTTACAAAATAATATTGTTCTATTATATTACCAATGTCAAATTTTTATAAATAGTTCTAAACTAAAGCTGTTTAACAAGGTTTTTATTTGGCAAAATTAGGTATCGTGGTTGACTCTTTAATTCCTTAAAAACTAATAATTTAAAGCGTAACGGTCGGGACTTTGCAATCAATCACGATACCTAATTTTGCCAAATAAAAACCTTGTTAAACAGCTTTTGTTTAGAACTATTTATAAAAATTTGACATTGGTAATATAATAGAACAATATTATTTTGTAAATAAAAACACGGCAACTGTCCTATCCGTTAAGCGTGGAATGGCCCAGGATCAACTTTGGAAGCCAACTTGGTCGCATTTGCCGATTTTCTAATGTCGCGCCCGTTACGCGATTCATGACGTTATAAAAGATTTTCTATTTAAGTTTTTATTGACATTTTGTTTGAGTTAAATATCAAATTTGTTATACTATTTTTGTATATTAAAGTATCTTAATATATCTGAACAAACACTTTATTATCACGGAAAAACGCAGTGTCAGTGTCGCACCCGTTACAATGGAAATACTCCTTATGCGCATAGTCAGTTCATAAGTGGGGGATCTAAAATATAATATATTATCATATAATATATAATATAGTATCATATTATGATACCATGGAGATATTAATACGTTCATGTATGATACGAATTATCAACTAAATTAAATTTAGGTTATATCAATTTTTTCTAAATCATTTGCTTACATCGACTAGGTTAAGCTTACATAAATTTCTGTAATTTGGCTTTATAAAAAGCAGAAGTGGCATAATATGCATATAATGTAAAAGCCAATAAAAATCTCGTAAACACAAATTATAAACGCTATAGTCTCTATCAATTTTGACGTAAATATTGTAATTACTCAGATAATCGCGATTTTATCCCAAAATTGTGTTTTTTTTTTAAACAAAATTTACTTAAGTAGTTAAAACTATTTTTTATTGGTAAATTTAATTGTCTGCTAAAAGGGTCCTTATAAATTATCGCATAATTATTGCAGTTTCAAATATAATTGCGATGTTAACGGCATGCTCATTTTTTTTAGCAAAATTTATTGAAAAAAAAATAATTTTCTATAATTTGTTAGAAAATATAATTGTCTACAACAAAAAGGACATCAATTATCATGAACATTTTTAAACCATGGTTTTTACCTCTGCAGAGGTAATCGAGAATTTATCTCGCAATTATTTTTTATATATTTTGTTAGTAAATTTATTTTTCCAAAAAATATTGTGGTTCTAGAGATAATTAACATTTTATTTTAATTTTTTTACTAAGCTTACTTACTATAGGATTATAATAAGTAAAAAAATAATTTGCGTGAATTAGTCAAAAATTACTAAAGTCATGGCGAAAAATCAGTCACTAATAACTATAATTAGTTAAATTCTACTGAATGAAATAGTCAAATAAGTATATTTAAATTAAAAAAGTCATGATTTGAACTCCGGTCTCTGGTTTGTCAAGCGGATGTCTAATCGCCACGCTAAGCCACTTTTAGTTATATATTTGCCTATATATATTTATAAATGACAATTTTAAATTTAAATCGCGATTATCCCTGAAACTACAATATTTATGCAACAATCGATAAGAACCTTTTTGTGGGAAATTAAATGCTTTTTCTCATAAAATTTATATACAATTTATTAAAAAGTATTTATTATATTTCAATGCAATGATACTTGTATTTTCTTCTACTTTAACGCCAAAAAAAGGAAACAGTCTCAGTCCGAAATTATTTGTATATGTGTCACACATAATGTGTGTAAGTATGCGGGTAGATCCTTTTTTTCAATATTTGCAATATTTTATTGGAAACTTTTTTTCATACAACTAATATTTAAAACAAGAATTCTTAATTTGGAGTAAATGATGATTTTTTAAGAATAAAACCAATAGAGATAAAAAGATGTATTTTTAATTCCCAAGCAACAATTTAAGTATTTGTTACGTATATGGGACTATTGAAGAAACTTTAAAGTGTTTTGCGACAGTCGCCGGTCTCTTTAATCTACTCTTTCGTTACTAAGTTACGACTAAAGTGGGGGGAACAATTATTGAGTTCCAAAAAGGTAACAAATATGTCACTAGCTATAAACCCTGCTACTATTTGGAACGTAGCTGCTACGTTACTAGAACGTTCCAATATCGTTGCCAGAGCGTTATAATGACTTTTATTTATTTGTTTTTACTTCTATATTAACTGTCTTTGTCAAACTTATATTAGATTATACTATCCCTCCTTTTTTAAATGGAACCACTACGGACTTGGCTTTTCAATGTCGTCGTTTATTAAATATGTACTGGTAGTTTATAACTTCCAGAATAACAATATAATGTTTAATTAGGCAGGTAAATTTATAAACCCTTTAAATTTTACTGTTGAACTTATGAATTTAGTTTTTGTAAAATAAATGCGCTTCATCAATATTTAAGTATACAGAAATTATTTATTTAATAATGTTTAAAAATAAAAAATCTTAATATTTATTATTAATTTTTTTATTTAATTATTAATACCGACTATTACCAACAAAATTACTATTTATTAAAAAGTAAACAACCATTTACAAACAATTAAAATAATTTATTATTTACATTACCACGTGGTACTGTACAGTAAAAAATGGCCGATAAGAAGCATTTTCCTTTGAAGTAGTTTTCGCTACTTTAAATTTTTTTTCACTTTACGGTTGTTTTGGTTAGTATCATAAACGTTCCAAATACTAAAATAATAACTTTTAAGTTATTAACTTTGTAGTTTTTAACTCATGTTCCAGTTTCGAGATTTTAACTTGCAAAGGGACTACAAAGTAAAAATAATTATAATGTAATCTTTAGGTAGCAACCGAAAGTAACTGCTACAAATTAAATTTACTTGAAAGTTTTTTTTACTTATAACACCTTTTTTAAAGTTGCAAAGTCTTCTTGGGGGCAACCAAGTTTTACTTAAATGTTTATTAGTTTATAGTAACCATTTAAGGAAAAATTAAGTTTCTGTTACAAAATATTGCAATTTAAAAGTTAAAATTACTTTTAAGTAAAAATTAAAGTAGCTGTTTAGTATACTTAACTAATTTAAAGTTATCACCACTTTGGCAATGGTTTTTGGAACCAAAAATGCTGCTTGGGTTGTTTTAACATGTTAAAACTGCAGTTTTAGTAAAAGCTTCCATAAATTCTCAATTGTCAAATTAAAGAGCAAAACTGAGTTAAACTGGCGGTCAGTTTTTTCTTAATTTTACAAGATTTCTTATAGGATGTTCTTATAACTTCAGGTTACGAAATGGAGGCGCTGATGGCGGCGCACGACGGCGTAGCGGCAACACTGCCGGCCGATTCGACGACGCCAACGCCCTCTGCTGCCGAAACCCTGCCCGCCTCGTTGTCAGATCACCGTTACGGCGAAGACAACATCAAAATAATCAAAATCGAAAAGTCGACCGAACCGTTGGGCGCCACCGTGCGAAACGAGGCCGACGCCGTAGTCGTCGGCCGCATCGTCAGAGGCGGCGCCGCCGACAAGAGCGGCCTCCTGCACGAGGGCGACGAAATATTGGAGGTAAGAACGAATCTCTTGATTATCTCCGTAAATATAAATGCTACGTCAAAAATAGTTATTTTCAATATTGTTGAGGGGCGTTTTTTAAACTTTTGTTTAAAACTTATTTCATATGGAACACCGTTTTATTTTTTATACTGGAATTAATTTTAAGAGTTAACTCTAGAGGGATATTTTTAATTAAATAAAAAATATCACATAAGAATTTTTATTCTGCGAATTAATAATATCTATCATAGCAGATATTTTGAAATTAGATTTTATTTTTATGCTAAAATGATATTTATAATAAATATCTGTTTCGTATACCTATTTGTATTTTTTGCAAAACATACATTTTTAATTTGCTTGATTAAAAATTAGATTTAATTATTGAACTGTCAAATCTGATACTTCTTTTAAAGGTTTTAAAGCCTTCTTAATTTATTTACTTCTGTACAAACTTTAAAACCTAATAAACATTCAAATTTATTTAAGAGTTTGAAAGCGATATTATTAAAAAATGCATTAATATTTGGTATCACATTTAAAAAAAATGGATTTCTTTTATGACCAACGCACCACTCTTTTATTAAAAAAAATAGTATTGGCATAAAGTATGGTTTTTCAATTTTTGAAAGCTCCTAAAACCTGCATTGCAAAAAAAGAACAAATTTATATTTTTTCCAGACTACTTACCCAACATGAAGCAGAAAAGCCAATTCAAGGCCCTCTAGATATACATATCATATACCTATGTATGTATGTAGAAATAAAATTTAATCAAAAATTTATTTGACCTGTAAAAAAATGACAAATGACATATGTATGTATTCAAAATTTTATTTTGAATCGAAATTTGTAAAAATGCATAGGGTGTTTCATTAAAAAATAAAAAGTTGAGACCATTTCAAGTAACAAAAATATATTAAATATGTCAAAAAGTTCTAAATTACACTTTATAAAGGTCACCCCAGTTTCATGACCCTAGATAAAATACCAAATTTTTGCGAGTAACCACGAATGAACTAGAAAATGGTATTTTCAATAAAAAAATAATAATTCCGAAACGATGAATTTAGCGAACTCGTGACTTTTGGTGAAAGTTGTTCATATTATCAACTTCAAACAAAAAAAATATGAAGTAAAAAAAATGTGTCAATGGACAAAATTTTGACTTCAATTTTGTAGAAAAAACAATTTAAAAAAAGGGTAAATTCACTTAATTTTTTATATTTTTTTGTATGTAGTAAACATTTAAAAAAAATTGTAACGATCGAAACAGTTTTGGCCAAGCAAAAAGGGAAAAATTGATGTTTCTGTCCATTTTTCAAAAATTTCCTACGGGTTAACAAAACAGATTTAAGCAAAAAGACAAAATACGGGTCTCATCGATTTCGGTAGAGAAACTAAAAAAAATCGTTTAAAAAATAACGACATACCCCTTTTTGCCTGGTCGATTTGAGATGGATGTAATAATAATAATTAATATTATTATTTGGATGTAAAAATATCTGCTTATTTTAAAAAATAATGCATTTCAAAATTTCTCCTATGATATTAGCAAATTAAAAATATGTTTTTAACTAAAAAATACAAATATAAGAAACCTATTTTGAATTCACTAAATTAAAAATATTAGTTTGACATTAAAATTAAATCTAATTTTAAAATATCTGCTATAATAATGTAGCGAGTACCGCTCTGGATCTCTGAATGATGACTCATCGCCGATTAGTCATCGCCGGTGAATCAGCGCTCGAACAATCGAGAGCGGTGTGGAGCTCGCTGGAATGTTCGAGAAGGCGCTTGCGTGACTAGTGTCACGTAGGCACTGAATATATAAGGAACAGCGCAGAATGGAGTAGTTAGTCAAGTTTTAGTACTCGCGATGAAATAAATAAATATACGTGCAAATAAATAGACTCTTGAACAGTAGTGATATATAAATAATTAGTAGTTAAGTGTTTAGCTAACTACTTTTATAGTCTTAGTGTTTTACGTGTAATTAAGTTGTAAAATAAATCATTTAGTTCGTTAATAAACCAGTGCCTGTTTTAATTCACACTGCGAACAGTAAAAACGTTACAATATTATTAATTCGCAGAATAAAAATTCTTATATGATATTTTTTATCCAATTGAAAATATTACTTTAGTGTTAAAACATAAAAAAATCTTGAATAAAAAATTAAACGGCGCCCCATATTTTCATATAATTAATATTTAAAGGGATATAACAACAAATGTCAGGGTGAAAACGGTTTTTTCGATTTATAGTGGGTCAAAAATATAAATTATTATAACGAAAATTGTAGCTCTTGAAATTCTTAAAAGTGTTAATTTATAGTTTATTTTTTTAGCATTTGAACTCTACTGTAAAATAGGTCAATGTTTTGCCCACTAAACATTGATGGAGTGAAATTGTGGTAGATTTTTAATCATTCTTTGATTTCTAGGTAAACGGCATAGAGATGCGCGGTAAGAGCGTGAACGCCGTCTGTGATATACTGCAAGCGATGGAAGGCACTTTGACATTCCTGATCGTGCCTGCCTCGCAAGCGCGCACGCACCCCGGTCGCGATTCCGTGCTGCACGTGCGCGCCTACTTCGACTACGACCCCGAAGAGGACATGTACATACCGTGCAGAGAATTGGGCATCAGTTTTCAGAAGGGAGATGTTCTTCATATTATCAGCCAGGACGATCCCAACTGGTGGCAGGCGTATCGGGAGGGCGAGGAAGATCAGACTTTGGCAGGTAAGTCTCAACAGTTTTGGTGGTAGAGTACTTAAAATTGGTAAAATTGGACAGATTTAAATAATGGTCAAGCAGGCTATTTTACTAAGGCTGGGAATTTTTAGTTTAAGAAGTTCGAATACTCGTTTGAAAATTATTTCGAATATTCGAATTATTCGAATATTCGAATATTTGAGTATTCGAATATTCGAATATCGAATATTTGAATATTAAAATATTTACCAGGTCCAGTGAAGTTTAACTAGTTTTAGAGATTTTTGAGCCAATCTGGAAATTTATTAAAAACTTCTTTTAATATATAATATTGTATCTGTGTTTTGCTTATCAAACAGATTATAATAATAATTATTATTATAAAAAGTTAGTATTAAATCTCTAGGCTATACCTACTTTTTTCTTAGTAAAAAAAAAGATTTTTTTTAAGTCTCTTATAAAGTTATAAGTTTATTATGCTTTAAAAGCTCTCTTCAAAAATCAGCTCAATTGATTAAAAAAAATATACGGTTGCACAATAATTTTGAAAATTCAAAAAATGATTAATTTAAAATTCGAACAATTTTTTGGTCAAAATTCGAAAAATGTTTTGCTTGACAGGGTAAATTTTTGTAATAGGTTTCTTAAAATTTCAGCTCTGAAGCAAAAAATACTTACACCCTATATCTATAGATAATATCTAATACCTATGCGTATACCTTTGGATTTCGGGCTTTTAGGCTAGAAATTATAATTTAAAATTGCAAGTGAAAGCAGCGGTCTGCCGCAAATTTTGCCTACGAATACCTATTAATGAGTAATTAATAATTACTAATTACTTTTCTCTATTGTCCAAACAAAGCGATTTTTTTGAAATTTTTTTAAAATTTTGTGAGCGACCATTAAAATTTTTTGCACCACCCTTACATATACAGATTTAAAATGTTTTAATATTCGAGTATTGGAATATTCGAATAATTTATAATCGATTTCCACCTCTACTTAATACTCGAATTATTCGTAATAGTTATTATTACTTAATTTTATTGCTGAGAACTATCATATAATTATTATTATAGAAACAACAAAAATTCGGTCCCGTTAGTAATCATGGAATCGCCCATATGTCTATTTTGTCACACTGTTGAGAGTAACATTAGATTTACCTTTAGTTTGCCTAAATAATAGTCACAATGGATATTATAATGTGAAATATTTATTTCTTAGAGGTATATGCCAACCAAACCATCTAAAATTTTATCTAAAACCTTGTTTAGGTCTTGTACCGTCTCAGAGCTTCCAGCATCAGCGCGAGTCGATGCGCTTGGCAGCCGAGGAACGCATGTCGAAACCTCAACGTAAATCGTCCACCCTTTTGTGCGGCAAAACGGCCAAACGGAAAAAGAAGAAGGGCGCATATGCGGACGGCGCCTACCCGATGTACACGAACGCTGTGGACGAGTGCGATCCGGACGAAATCCTCAGCTACGAGGAGGTTTCGCTGTACTACCCGCGTGCCAACAACAAAAGGCCTATAGTTCTAATTGGACCTCCCAATATTGGAAGGCACGAGCTGAGGCAAAGGCTGATGGAGGATGCCGAAAGATTCGCTGCTGCCATACCACGTAAGTACACAAAATATAAAAAGCGTGTACCCACATAAAACAAAAATATATTTATAATATTAAATAAATATTTTGCTAAATATCCTACATATTTTAAAAATATTAGTCGATATCATTTAAATGCCTCTAAAATGTTTTTACAACATTTAGATGTCCCACTTTTTATATTTATACAATATTTTTGTAAATGTTTTAGATAAATTACCTTATATTTTATTAATATTTACAGTTCATTGCATATTTTAAAAATGTTGTAAATGTTGATAAAATCTTCTTTTTACATTTATAAAAGCCGTGTGATACTTTTTGTGTACTGAATTTTCTTGTTTTGGAGTGCAAAAAGTAGATGTAGCATGGTATTCTCATATTAGATATACTAAATACCATAGCTGGAGATCTATTTTCTGCACGTTAAAAATACAAGAAAATTTAGTACACGTTATTTTAAAAATAATTAAAATAAATTAAAGTGAAATATGTCAAACAAAATTTCTTTGAAAAAAGAAAGAATTAAAACAATACAGTTCTTTTTCTTTTTTATTCGTAATTCGGTAAAATGTCATTTTCCCTCGAGGTTTCGGGTTTTTCAGGATGGAGGCATAAAATAATTTAATTTAAATTAAAGTATTCGATTCAATTCCGCTCGGAAAATTTACTTATTATGTTTTTAAAAATGAAAAAAATATATATTTTTGTTTTTTGTTAAGAAGAAATTTACCGATAGAATAATCGTCTTCAATAGGGTGGCAATAAAATTTGAAGGTACCGCCGCGTTTCAGTGCACTGCCATTCATAAATAGGTACCTACCAATAATAATCTAAACAATAAATATAAATGTTACGCAAAAACGAATAACATATAAAGCACTACAATGGTTTGAAATAAAGGAACTAACCAACTTAGATAAATTTACAAAGGCTGTGAAGCAATATTATAGACTCTAAAATGTGATATTTAAATGATATCCATTAAATTATACCATATTTATCCACTTTATATTAATATTTAATCTTGTATTTATGTTTATATGTATAGTGATTTGTAATATCTGCTTATGTAATGTATTCCTGTGATGGATTTTTGTAATCTTTTTTATCAAGAGGGTGCTTACATAAAAATCTTTCAAAAAGTTTATATTGTTAAATAACTTAACAATATTTAGGAAAAAATATTTACATAAAATTGCCAAATAAATGTTAAGAAATATATATGAATGTTTTAAAAATATTTACGCGTAAAAGTTATAGACATATTTTTTCCTGAATGTTCGTACAACATTTTATCAACCTTTCTTTTATAAATATTGTTCTACAAAGGGAATAAGAACATTTTTAAAACATTGCGTTTTGTGGGTAGTTCTAACCAACAATTTTCTTTTCTTTAGACACGTCCCGAGCCCGCAAAGACACGGAAGTCGACGGGCAGGACTACCACTTCATCACGCGTGCGCAGTTCGAGGCGGACATCCTGTCGCGCAAGTTCGTCGAGCACGGCGAATACGAGAAAGCCTACTACGGCACCTCGTTGGACGCCATACGTTCGGTGGTAAACAGCGGCAAAATCTGCGTGCTCAATTTGCACCCGCAAAGCCTAAAAATACTGCGAACGAGCGACCTCAAACCATACGTCGTGTTCGTAGCGCCACCTAGCTTGGAGAAGCTGCGACAGAAGAAGATTAGGAACGGCGAAACTTACAAGGTAAGATGTCTCATTAGACCATGTAACCTTAGATAGATCAGTGATAGAGCAGTGATAGAGCACTGATTTTTCTAGATCATTAACAAAATTTTAATTTCGTGTATTGTCAGTTTTACCCATCAAACACAACCGTAATGGTCCTATAATGGTCCTTTATAAAAGTGCCTTAAATGAACTAAAGACCCTATAATGGCTAACTCTAATGGAACTGTACATATTATGACAATAAAGGCACAACAACCATTCTAAAGGTTCTGATATGGCACATTAAAGGTACAAATGTGGCAAGCTAAAGATTTTTATAAGGTGGATTAAAATTTTTATAGTGGTTATTTAAATAATTTTTTAATGGATAAGTAAAGTATATACACTGCCCGTCAAAATTAACGCATAATAAGTAAAAAAATTCTAACTCTAAAACGCCTTTACCAATCTTTATGAAATTTTGTATAAAAATACTTCAACTTATATCTCAGTTTACGTGTTCGAGGGTTTTTCAAAAAAATATTTTTAAATAATAAAAAAAAACGTTATAAAAATAACTTTTAGAGAATTTTTTTAATTAAATTAAAAATATGGTGTTAAAGAACGTTTTTTTGTTAGTATACCCTAAAAATTTTGTACAAATCAAACTAACAGTAACAAAGATACAGCGCTTCAAAGTCGGTAAAAATTACCCCTTTTTGATTATTTTGCTGAAAAATTGTCATTTTTGACGACTTTGAAGCGCTGTATTTTCGTTGCTGTTCGTTTGATTTGTACAACATTTTCAGGGTTTACTGACAAAAATACGGTCTTTTTTATTTTTTACAAAATTTCCCTATAAAAGTTTTTTTCGAGCGTTTTTTTATTATTAAATAAAAGGGCTTTTAGGATATTTTCTCGAAAAACCCTTGAACACGTAAACTGAGATATAAGTTAAAGTATTTTTATGCAAAATTTTATAAAGATTGGTAAAGGTGTTTTAGAGTTGGATTTTTTTACTTGTTATGCGTTAATTTTAACGCGCAGTGTATTATGGTAGATTAAATGTGTTAGGTATATCCCTAACCGTCACAATTAAATTTCTGACGGTCGACCGGGGTCGGGATAAAAATTTCCGATTATCGTGAAATATTCGACCCAATAAATATAAACAAACCAAAATATAGACCTGTATAAGTAAAACATAAACATTTTAGTTTAAAATCTGTTTATTAATAAGTGAAATCCATAATATTTAAATAAATAAAAAATCCTTAAACTAAATAGAAAATATTTAAAAGTAAAATATATTTTTACTTGATTTTTTTTGGCAGATTGTTCTCTATAACAAAGAAAACCAGGTTTTCTTTGCCATTATTAATTTCTTTTATTCGCAATTGCCCCAATTTTGATATTATCAATTAAACCTTTCTACTAAATTCTTTGGCGGTATTTTGTCTGTTCTAAAGTTCTAAAATTTGTAAAATTAAAAATGCACCACTTACTCATTTAAATTTAACAACCATTTGGTATTATTATTATTTTTTTATGCATACCACACCATTAAAACTATAGGAATTACACTGGGCGTCATTTTTTAAATATGGCGTTAACCAAGGGATAATTAAAGGTTCATGTAAGTTTTATATACAGAAAATATTTGTCACTTAAATGATTTTTAAAGTCCCATTAACTTGCTACTGAAAATTGCCATATATGGATCTTTTATGGTAAAATATACAAATATTAGCCATTACAAGACCTTATATCAAAATTAATATTTTTATTAAAACTTTCCTGTAAAGGTCCAGTACAAAGAAAGCTTACGCTAAAAATGCTATTATGTAATACTATAATTATAATAAATTATGAATAGGACTTTGCTGGGTAGTTATCCTAAAACTAAAACCAACTTTAAGTCTGTAGTTTTGTTATTTTTTACTAAAGATAATGACATTAAATGTTAGATTATTTCACCCACTTTAGGACAGCCTTTTAAAATGTTGAATTTTTTTTTTCAGGAGGAAGAACTGAAAGACATAATCGAGAAAGCGCGCGATATGGAGGACAAATACGGCCACTTCTTCGACATGGTGATAGTGAACAGTGACACTGAGCGCGCGTACCACCAGCTCCTAAGCGAAATAAACAGTTTGGAGCGCGAGCCCCAATGGGTGCCGGCCGCTTGGATTAAAGCTCTTTAGTACTAACGTAATTAAAAGTTTAATTAGGTTTTCAAATTTTAACAAGCAACCACTATGCTCTACAAATATAATAATAATATTGATGGCTTGAACCATCAATGAATTTTAAACTTTTAAAATATTAAAACAATATTAGAACACCATCAGCTCAGAGGGGTGTACATTTTGTAAAGAAGATTGACTGAATTATTACTATTTTTTTCGATTGTTTTCTATTGATATGTGCCAAAAATCGCACAACTTTTTAACTAAAGAATATCTCGACAAAAAATAGAAAACACTTGACTGGGGCGGTTACCGTACTAAATTTGTGTCTCAGGAATTTGCAGAATCTTTTTAAGCACTTAACCCTTGAATTTCAAGGCTTGAAAAGATGCTGTATTTTATTATGTTTCTGGAATTGCGACTTAAACGGTTTTAATAATTATTATTACATCACTTATAAGTGGTAAAATACGCAAAATTAGTCAAATTATACAGTTTTAGTCCAATTTTTATAGTATTATAGTCAAGAAGGCTGTTTATAAGCCGCCATTTTGACACGTCACGAGTTTTTGACAGATTTCAACCAAATAATACTAAATATCAAAGCTTACTTTGTTAACCATTTTTTTTATTTACAAAACTAATAATTTGACTTATTTTGCGTGAAAAATTAAATTTAACCTGTGATTTCGGCCAGAGCGCGTTCACGTCTATGAAATTGAATAGTATTTAACTTAAAAAAGACGGCAATAATTGATTGTACATAATAAAACTAAAAAAACTAGGAAAAACTTAACTATAGCTATGTATTTAGCGGAACTCGAATATATTGTATATAAGAGTTATTCATATTTGTCTAGGCGCATTATTTTTTTGTCACGTTCAAAAATCCACGGGTAAAATCGTTTTTGGTTTTATATGATTTAAAAAAAGTGTTGCTCATTTTTTTTAACTACCTACTGTTAAATGTTGGGTGTTTTTTAATCGATTTTGGTAATTTTTGAACTTGAGAAAGACAATAATGAAATTTTAAAGCGACTTAAATCGACAAGATACTTTTGATTGGTGTTAGTTTAAATATTTCGATCTACTTTGTTTCAGAAGTTGTAGAATGAAGTAGACATTTTGTTGATTACTTTTATATAATTATATGTACTTATTTTATATCTCCCCATTATTAACTAGGTAACTTTTAACAAAATAGTTCAATAGGTGCAATTTTAATTCTTTAATTAACTTTTACCCATTTCTATTATTTTTAGAACAATTGTAAGATAAAACTCTTACAATATTATAGGTATATTTATATTTTATAATTCTTATATTTTTTAGTCTGAAGTCATTTATTTTGTTTATTTATTTGTTATTATTTAATTGTATATAAGATATATCAAATGTGTATATAATAAAAACAGACCCTATGGAGTCTGGTTATCCGTGTATTATAATTATTATATCGTTAGTAATTTTGACTTCAGAGTTCCTTTTTATTGAAAATTTTATTATGCATACAAGATAATTGTTTTAGAATTGCAGAAATAAATATTTCTCACTATTAAATACCTCTTTTATTTACCCCATCAACACTCCGGGTTACGCCCGGAGACTCCGGATTTCGGAGATGATCTCCGGGTTAAAACACAGTTTCTCCGGGCTAAAGGCCAATTTTAATTTTTTCGCAGATCTTCTAGGACACTCCTCTAAACTTTGCAATTTGACTAGAAAAAGTTAACTTGTGCCTTGATTAGATTGAAGTTTTAAAAACTGCATTTTTTTCTAGAAATTTAATGGTAATCTCAATGAGGCAAGAATTGAAACGTCGTCAATCTTATTTTTTTAACTAAATAACAACTTTTAGGGTGTGCTTCAAAAAAATGTTGTACATTGATTTCTTATAACCATGGGCATATGACAAGGTTAACTTTAAAAATATGTTATGTAACCTTATGCAACCCCATGCGCTGTGCACATTCCACAAAGGTCCTAAGGTTAAGAAAACTATTTCTTACAAGAGGAATATTTATTAAAATAAGTTTTGTATGTATGTTACAAGTAAAGCAAAAGTATTAAAAAATGACAAAAAAGTCACTGATTCCTCACCCCGCAAATAGACAAATAGGTGTTTTTATTTTTTGAGTAGACCACAGGTACAAAAGTATAAACCACGGAAATCGTTTCTTTCAAATTGTCGAGGTGCTCGCAAAAAATTTCGACTTTCAAATTTTTACTCACCGGGTAGAACACCTTCAAATCGTACACGGATTTTTCGTCGTTTTCGTGGCCTTGCTGAAGTTTTTCGATGACGTAACTCAACGTTTCGACGAAAACCGTTTTCGAGACTTCTTCGGTGTCGTCTTGGTTCTCTACCAGACACACTAGGGCGGCTATGTTGTTCTCGTAGTTCCATCTACGGTAAATTGAGATTGAGAAGTTTTCAATGCGTTTTCCCCTTTCCTCGTCTAAAAAATAACAAGTTTTTAAAAGTGGCAACTTTGCCCATGGGCTTGCGAGCCTCGGCAAAGTCTCTTTTTTTGGGTTTGTAAATATGCAAATTTGAAGACAATTTCTATAAACAGCTTAACCAATTTGTTGTTCCTGTAGATATAACAAAAAACAATATCAAGAAAAATGCAACAGCTTTAGTTTAAAAACGATTTGAGGGATATTCCGTAACAGACTTCAAAAGATTTTTTCCATACTGGGTGTTTTCAATTGAATTTATTTTATACCTGTTCCATATAATTAAAAATTCTCTGTGGATTGACTCTCCCGCCTACTCCGATCAAAGTCCTAGCCCGCATACAAGAAACGCAACTGTTGTAAGTGATTTAGAGTTACGTGGATTTTTAGTGTTTGAGAAATACCCAATTTTTTTGTGTTATGTTCCCCAAATGCCCTATATCTTTCTCTAGTTCTGCATAATAAAGATCATTATTAGCAGAAGGAAAAAAATTGTCCACAATTTTATTGAATGCATTAAAGGCAGGGACATATTGTATTGTAAAATAAATTGAATTGAGCGTAGCGTGTTACGGAATTTTCCTCAAATCGTTGTTGAATTTTTCTTGACATTGTTTTTTGTTATTTCCACAGGAACAATTAATTGGTTAATCTGTGTATAGAATAATTATTTTATACTAATTTATTGCGATGAAATGTTATTATTTAGCCTAGTTATTGGATGTTTGTTTACAGTTGAGAATTATGATGTTTTTTGATACTAATTAATAAAACAAAATAAGACAGAATTTTAATATACCCCGTTTTTCTAACAACTACAAAAACAGTCAAAAAACGCGGGAAGAAGCATATAGAGCTATAAAGTGAAGCTATAAAGTGAAACCTGCGGACCCTTCAATGACACCGTGTACGCGGGGGGGCGGGGGGGGCGGCACTTCTTGGGGCGGCAAAAATCGTGAGAGAAAATGCGAAAAAAACTGGAAGACAGAATATAAAAATAAAAAAAATATTTGATAATTAAATATTCTCTTTCGAAATAATATAATTCAAATTCCAATAGATTTGAGATTTATACAATTACTCCCAAAATATTCCAAATCAAATAAAGCTAGCAAAAAATAGAAACAAGACCGGTATTGTACCTTTGATGAGTAATCAGTCTACCGCCGACATAAGTTACCAATAAAGGTTTTCGAGAAAAGCTGCCGGCCCACTGCAATTCTGGATATGCGTTCGCACATCGCGAGCATTAATAAACTGGAAAATTGTACAGCCGGCCGCGACGTCGTGTGTTTACTTTTTTTGCTAGTCTAGTTGAAACTGTTATATGGGGCGCCATGTGTTCCATAATTATTTCGTACGATATATAAAATATTTTGCAGGAAAAACTATATATAAGTAAAATTTACTAAAATTTTGCATATATATTAAAAATAAAAGTTTTATACAGTGCTTGCAAATCCAAGTCCGACCGGTTTGGGAAGGACGCGTGAAAATAACAAGGATAGACGCTCTGACCAATCAAATTCTGTTTGGCATTCTATCCTTATTCTTTTCACGCGGGTATTGAACAACCATCCTTTCCAACGCGGTCGGACTTGGATTTGCAAGCACTGTATATATTGAATTTGGCACCATGCGAAGTTCGATATAAAACTTTTTTCGTTTAAAAAGTCCCCGAGCGATGGCGCTACCTTTCTTTATGATTTGTATAGTGTGTTGCATATACTTTATGAACGTATTCAAATTTAAAAAAACATCTTTCGCTCACGTTTTTTTTAGATAACGGCGGTTGGTTTGTAATTTATACAGCTGTAATTATACTGTTCATCGATATTATTAATAAAAGGTAGGTATTTTAAGTAATTATTCTTTTAGAGAAAGATGTTTTTTTAAATTCGAATACGTTCATAAAGTATATGCAACACACTATACAAATCATAATGAAAGGTAGCGCCATCGCTCGGGGACTTTTTAAACGAAAAAAGTTTTATATCGAACTGCATGGTGCCAAATTCAATATATATAAAACTTTTATTTTTAATATATATGCAAAATTGTAGTAAATTTTACTTATATATAGTTTTTCCTGCAAAATATTTTATATATCGTACGAAATAATTATGGAACACATGGCGCCCCATACTGTTAAATCAAAATAAACCACAATAATTCTTTAATATTCATAACGTTAAAAAACACTGACAATGTTGTGTTATATATAGGAACCTTAAGGTAAGTTTATTTCTGAATCTTGTGATTTTAGTTTTTAATTTCTGCGTAGATATAGAAAAAAAAGTTGAGAAGTAAAAAAGAAGAGGGATATCCTTAAAAGATTGTTAGATATAATACTTTTTCTCGCTAAGCAAAACCTATCTTTCCGCGGTCACCGAGAGGACAAAAATTCTCAAAATCGAGGAAATTTTCTAGAGCTGGTTAGCTTATTATCAAACTATGACCCCGTTCTAAAAGAACATGTGTGTAGACTGGAGTCAACAAAATATACGACTAGTTATTTATCTCCGAAAATACAAAATGAATTTATTAATATTTTGGCCTCGACTATTAGAGAAAAAATTGTTATTAATATCTTAAAAGCAAAATATTACTGCATGATGTTCGATAGTACTCCAGATATATCGCACACAGAGTAAATGTGCGAAATAATAAGATATGTGCATATTGAAAATGGAGAAGTTGAAGTGCGAGAGTCGTTTTTAAGGTACTTCCCCCTTGAAGGAAAAAAGGCCAAAGATATAGCAGATAATATTTTAAAGGAATTGCAGCAAGATAATATAAATATCGCAGATTGTCGAGGGCAAGGCTATGATAATGCCTCAACAATGGCAGGAATTAATTCCGGAGTACAGGAAAGGATCAAACAAATAAATCAAAAAGCGGTATTCATAGCCTGCTCAAATCACTCCCTCAACCTCTGCGGTGTTCACTCTTTTTCCACCGTACCTACTAGCGTAACATTTTTTGGTACCTTGGAAAGTATTTATAACTTTTTTTCTGCTTCCACCCACAGATGGGATGTATTACTTCAAAAAACATGTGTCTCAATTAAAAGATTATCCGAAACTCGATGGAGTGCACACTATGATGCTGTAAAAGTAGTAAAAAATAAGCTACCAGAGTTGATTGATGCAATTGAATCTTTGACTGACTTGGAAAATGAAAATCTTGACACAAGGCAATCAGCTCAGTTGTTATTGCCTGCAGTTTTTGATTTTTCCTTTATTACTTATTTGCACTTTTGGTCAAAAATTTTAAAAGAGGTAGATGAAACCCAAAAGTATTTACAGACTTCTAATTTAACCTTTGATAAATGTGTTATAAAGATAAATACACTTGAGATCTTCTTAAAAGAGAGTAGAGAAAAACTCGTGCAGGAAGCCATAGATGCTTCAAAGCAAATTTGCACTAACCTTGATATCTCCATAGTTAAAAGAACACGTAGGAAAAAAGTTATGCCTGGAGAAAATGCAAGTGATGCTGGACTTTCAACCGAGGAAGAACTAAAACGAGCGTTATTTGAATGCCTTGACCGTCTTCAGATGGAGTTATCGAAAAGATTTGAAGCTATGAAAAATATTCTCCGAATATTTCGGGTAATACAGCCACAAAGCTTATTTTGCTTTTCAGAAGTTGAGCTTCAAGAGGCTTCAATGGAATTAACAAGTCAGTACGAAGAATTTTCCTCCTCAGAGGAAGATACTATCGTTAAGGATATTTTGAACCTAAGGCGATATCTGTGTGCCGCTAAAATTTCTCAAGATATATATTTATCTTGGACTTGCCTTGACGTGCTTAAATTTATTGTAAAATATGATTTTTGCGATTCTATCTCCATTCTATTTTTAAGCCTTAAATTATTTTAACGTTATGTGTATCTAACGCAACATGTGAGCGAAGTTTCTCTAAATTAAAATTAATTAAAAACTATTTGCGCTCTGTTATGAGTCAAGCACGACTTACAAGTTTGGCTCTGATTTCTATTGAAATAGAGATGGCCAAAAGTATCGATTTTGATAAAATAATTAATATATTTGCGCTTAAACAACCTAGAAAGGTTTTACTTGTTTAATGTCCTTTTCACCTGATTTATGCTAAATCATTTTTACCTGTTTTATGTTAAATTAAAATATAAGTTTTGTTTTGTTTATCAAGAATGTATCTATTGTTTTTTTTTCTAAATATTTAAACATTTTTATTTATTTTTTACTCAGGTTTAAGTTTTTTTTGTAGGTACTTTTACATAAGGTTGAGAATTTATCTCTTTGTTTTTTTCATATAAATTATGTTAAAGCACATTTTATTTGTTGTTTTTCTTTACCTAGGTCTAAGAATTTTTGTTTGTTTTTAATTCTTAAAATATTACAATTTAATGTTATATATTTATATGTTATATATATAATTATATATTTTTAATTTTGCGTACGGTCCTCAAAACTGACTCCTAACCTAACCTCTCTTCCCCCCCCCAAAAAAAAAACATGAGGGCGACAGCCACTGCTGCCCCGGGCGGCACTTTTTCTAGTTACGCCGCTGACAGTGTTACCACCCAGATAGCAAACGTGAATACGAAATCACGCGTGAGTGAATAATGTGTGCTATATGATTTCACACGTGAAGTCTTGAACTCGTAATTCACACGTGAGTAGATTATGAATTCATATTATAGTCTCGTGTGACTTAATCGATTTTATTTTAAAATGCATGGATTGCATGATTAAAAACTGCACGTTTAAATATAAATAGAATAATATCAAAAATATTATATTAATATATTTTCATTTAATATTGTATGTCATTATAATAAATTATAATTATCTCTGGTAACACCCTCCCTTTCCCCATGCCATAAGACATTTTCAGTCACAATCTTTATTTTAAATGTTTTAAAATACACAAATTAATTATTATATGTATTAATTATATAATATATTAAGTTATAAGTAGTTATATTATATAATTATATATTATAATATATAAT